CTATTTAATAATATTGCAGAATCTATGTTTAAGTTAAGAATTAAACTAGTATTTATGGCATTGGCCTCGAAAACTTATCAAATATTTGTTTAGTGCCCTTGTGCAAAAACAAAATAGTGAACAAAATAGAAAAAATACTTGCATTCATAGATCTTACATTCTAGTGAATGTAAGACAATAAATAACCACAATAAGTAAGCAAATTATAATATGTTTGGTGAGAAGCTGTATTAAAAAATCAGGATATATCGAGCAGAGTCCTATGGATGGAAACAGGAAAAAAAGTCAGGATAAGAAGGATGTAGGGTAGGTTGCAATTTTAAATAGAATGACATTTGAGATCGTTTAGGTGGGATCGTTTCTGCGTGGTTGCCTGAAGGACAATATTCCAAAGATTTACAATCTAAATATTTAGTTTTAATTCTAGCATGACTCTATTAATTTACTTTCTCAAAGACTCTTTTTGTTTTTTTTTTTTTTTTGAGACAGAGTCTCACTCTGTTGCCTGGGCTAGAGTTCTGTGGCGTCCACCTAGTTCACAGCAACCTCAAACTCCTGGGCTCAAGTGATCCTCCCACCTCAGCCTCCTGAGTAGCTGGGACTACAGGCATGCGCCATCATGCCCAGCTAAATTTTTCTATTTTCAGTAGAGACAGGATCTCACGCTTGCTCAGGCTGGTCTCAAACTCCTGACCTCAAGCAATCCTCCTGCCTCAGCCTCCCGGAGTGCTAGGATTACAGATGTGAGCCACCTCACCCAGCCCAAAGTTTTGAAAAATAATAAATTTTGAAGGCTGAGTGCGGTGGCTCATGCCCGTAATCCCGACACTTTGGGAGAACAAGGGGGGAGGATCACTTGAAGCCATGAGTTTGAGACCAACCTAGGCAACAAACGGAGACCCCGATTCTACAAAAAATTAAAAAATTAGCTGGGCGTGGTGGTGGAATAAAGGGAATATTATTCCACCTTTAAAAAAGAAGAATATTCTTGGGGAGATCTGGGCTGTTAAAAGAAAAAGAAGAAAATCTTGTCATTTGCGACAACATGGATGAATTTATGCTAAGTGAAATTATTAGGTAGATAGCGAGGGATTCTGGGTCTCCTAGGGACAAAAGTGGGTGCTATTGCTCCCATCTTGGTCCTGTCCCACCCTAATTCTCCATACCTGTGAGAGGAGGGAATACCCTATGAATCTACCTATGAGAACTTGGCACGACAGCTGCAAAAGAATGCAGAGGACTCTCTAGCTCACAGGCCAAGCAGCATGGGTACCATAAGGTCCGGAAAGTGACTCAGAACCCACATGCATAGTTAAGACTCAGGTCATGTGACTCCCAACTGTCCAATCAAAGTGGTTCTGTGGTGACGTTTGAACCACCCGGAGGTCCCTATCTGGACACCATAAAACAAGATGCAGACCATAGCCTACCTCTCTCTTTTCCCTTCCATGACAATGGGTTCGGTCATCTGTGGTGTGTGTATGTACCATGCTCTGTAAACCTCTACCTTGCTCTTGCCCTATAATTCTATCTTTCTGTCCTCAATACACCTCATTTTCGTGCTTGCCTAACTTTGGCGTGTCTGGTCATTCTTTGGCCATGAGCGTGCCAAGCACTGAGAGTTTCAGACTAAAACCTGACGAAATAAGCCAGGAACAGAAACACAAATACTTCATGATCTCACTTTTTATTTTTTTGTATTTAAAATTTTTTTTTTCTCGTCCATGTCCCGCATGATATATTTCATTTTTGTTTTAGTGACGGGGAATCTCACCCCATCAAAGCTCACTGCAGCCTCAAACTCCTGGGCTAGAGCGATCCTCTCACCTCGTCCTCCCAAAGTGCTGGGATTACCGGTGCAAGCCACCACACCAGGCCCTCACTTACATGTAGAATCGAAAAAAGTGGAACTCACAGAAGTAGAGAGTAGAATGGTGATTGCCAGGGGCTGGAGATGTGGGTGAGAGACCGGGAAATGTTGGTTAAAGGGTAAAGTTCCAGTTAGGCTGAGTAAGTTCTGGAGATCTACTGTACACCATGGTGACTGTAGTTAATATATTGTATATACTTGAGAACTGCTGAGAGTAGATTTTTAATGTTTTTACCATAAAAAAAGGATATAATATATATATGACTATGTGAAGTGCTGGATATGTTAATTAGCTTGACTGTGGTAATTATTTTACAACGTATACATATATCAAAACATCACGTTTTACAATTAAAATATACACAATTTTTATTTGTCAATTACACCTCAATAAAGTTGGAAAAATTCTCAAACACAATTAAAAACAAACCTAAAAAGGCAGTTCATAAAATTCTGTTCAATGGATGAAAATCTCCACCATAAATAAAAACATAATATGCAAAGATGACATCTGGAAGGAAACCTAAGACAGTGTTAACAGTGGTTACATCTGGGGAGCACCAGGGCACTGGGAGTTAGGGACAGGTTTACTTTTCCGTGTACCTTTAGGAAGTTTTAAGACACACACGCTCAACCTTTACAAAATAAAAAATAAAGGGTTTCCAGTGCAAACTCTTCTCGACATCCTCTAGGTGTGCTTCCTTCCTCCTTTCAACACATTTCCCTGTCAAAACCTGCGTTACTTCCAACCGACGCTCCTGGAAGGAACAAGTCCCTGGTCTCCGCGATCGGGACCAGCCAGTCCACAATAACAATCCCAGAAAGGTGGTCAAGTGCTCAGTCAGCCGGAAGACAGGGGGGAAGGCTCTAACGCCGGCCCTGCTGCAGAACACCGCGACGGCAAAAACCTCCGGCTAGTGGCCTCAGGTGTAAGGCTACTCCGCATTGGTGGCGGGGGGATCTTCCTATTATTGTTACGCAGTCCTTTTTCTTCTTCTGGGAGAAAGCACCTGGGGAGAGGTGGGCCCTCCCCGCAGGCGCTCGGGGACAAGCATACATTCCCTGCACTGTCGCAGCCCCAGCCGGCGTCCTGCCGGGCCATGTCATCGACACTTGACTCGCATTCCTGGCTGGCAGATTCACCACTTTCTGGTGTCCGAATTTAAAATGAAAATTCAAATTTACCTATTTCAGAAGCGCTTCCTGTCCAGAAAAACAGAATCAGGAGAGATTTCCGTTCCTTGACTTTTTTTTCTCTGCTGGCGTCCACAGTATCTACACCCAGCGCGCGAGGACCTTGAGTCGAAAGCGGCGACGCAGACGCTCAGGCCGCTGTTCCGGCGCGCAGTCGCGGCGGCCCCTCGGGCGCGCCCCCGCCGGAGTCCGACGTGGAAGTTGCTGGCAGACCAGGCTTGCGAGGAAGCAACCTGGGAACCGCAGCCGGAGGCCAAGGCGAACGGAGGTGGCGGCGCGGGCGCTTGAACAGGAATAGCTGCTGAGGCCGGGCCCTGTCTCTGAGGATCGGCGAGGGCGGACAGGCGATTCATCATGGGTGAGGGGTCCGAGAAGGGCGCCCGGGCGCGCTCGAAGGGGCCGCGGCCGAGGGCTGGGGTGGGGAGGAGAGAGGGTCCGGCCTGGGAAGCCCAGAGTAGCCAGGTTGTCAGGGGACGGGTCTCTGAGTACTTGACGCGTCATAGATTTTTGCCTGTGGGGGTGGATCCGGCCTCACGCATTCTCTTCCGCCTTCGCTCCGTTCCCCTTCATCCCCGCCGGGTTAGGGGACCAGAGCAACGCGGGTCCACAGAGCCCGGCCCCAAGACCTTTCCCCTGATGATGAACCGTTCCTTCATCCTCAGCTCCACTTGCCGTGCACAGTTGGTGTTGGGAAGCCTGGCAACGTGTCAGTCGCAGGTTCGCTGACGTTTCTCGGCTGAAAGATGAGCTCTGGCCCCATAGTGGAAGCTTGATCCTCTCTCTCCTAGAGCGCTGGGACTGCGTCAGTTGGAAAAATCCGCGGGATGATGTTGCTTATAACGTTTTATAGCCAACTTGGCATTTGTCTGCTTATCTGCTGTAGGTTTTCATGTAGATAATAGAGTAAGATGAAGAAGGAGGTGGGGAGGGTATTTCTAGTCAGTGAATGACATACTAACCTCAGTTCTTGTACTGCTGATTGTAATGTCCCCACCCGGTTAGAGCCCAAATGAGGGTGCACATTCTTTAAGTTGTTTACCATGCTCCAAATGAAGATGCAAGTTCTTCCGCTTGTTTAAATCCCTCCACAGTTTTCTGGGGAATACAGTTCTGTCACAAGGGCTGTTCAGTCTTCCATAAGCCCCTTCAGTTTTGTTTCCCGCCTCCTCTTTTCTACCTGTGTGTGGTAGAAAGGACTTTGTCAAGTCACAACCATTCTATTTGACTTTCCCAAGGTTCTCTAGCCCGTGGTGTGTTCACTTTTCCAGACTCGCAGCTCTTAATTGTGCCATCTCTTGCCATCTCTTTGTTAAATAACAAAGTGTGGCATCACTTCTTTTGTCAACTGTTTTTATGTTGTTAATGTAACTTTCTTTTAATCCTTCCTAACGGCTTTTGATGAGAAAGGGTCTGTGCCACAAGTGCTTTTATACTACCTGTGTACAGGAAGCTTTCTGGACTATTTTGTGATGCATCCGGTGTAGCTTTTTAATTTTTTTAAATGTATTTTCCATCAAAAATAGTTTTTGTTATTTTTGGCTTCTGTGTTTCAGTTTCTTGTGCTAGTTCTATTGCTTAGTGGAGAACTCTCTGATTGAAGGTAGTTATGGTTTGGTACTGCCGCTGTACAACAATTGCTTTTCATGCTTGAGGACATCATTGCCCCACTGTCCTGACTGGTCCTTTGGTTTTTAGGAATAGTGAGGAGATCATGCTAAGGTATCCTGTTATCTTGATTAGAAAATGAGTTCCCCCAGGGCATGTGGCCATATTTCTCTTATTATTTAGTATATGTTATAAACCTGCATGACACAGTATTTAGGACATAATAGCATCACTAATCACTTGTTTGATGTTGAATAGTATATTTCATTGGGAGCAAAAAATATGCACCTATGCATCCAGGAAAATATAATATTATTTAATTTGGTATATAGCTTTCAAAGGGCAAAGTTAAATGTTTTATGGACCTAGTTCACAAAATAATGTTGAATATGTTTTTCCTTTTATTATTTTTTAGGTGGCTTCTTCTCAAGTATTTTTTCCAGTCTGTTTGGAACTCGGGAAATGAGGATTTTAATTCTGGGATTAGATGGAGCAGGAAAAACCACAATTTTGTATAGATTACAGGTTGGAGAAGTCGTTACTACTATTCCTAGTAAGTGTTGGAATGATAAACTAATTGTAGGTTATACTGGTTTCCATCTAGTATAACTATTTTTGAATAAATGATTCATATAATAAAGCGATAAGGTTTGTAAACTTCTAGTATGAATGAACATAGTATCGGTAAAACTTTTTTCATAAACTGAGAGGCAATTTGGTATAATTTTAGGATCCCTGTCCAGGTATATGGCTGGATTTTGCTGTTTATAGCTGTTTAAAAGTTGGCTTGAGTTACTAAATCTTATTGAGAGCCAGTGTCTTTACTAATAAAATGAAGATAATCAGTATCCACTGGCTTTGATGGGGAAATAAATATATCAAAGTACTATGTGAATTTGTGTAGTAAAGAATTATATAGATATTAAGTGATATTATATGTGAAGTATCTTTTTTTCTGTATTTGTTACTATTTTAATTAAGATCAGTTTCTCTTAGTTAATTATTGATTACTTTTAAATATCCTAGTTGTAGAGACCGAGTGTTGAAGTTATCTGGTTCCTCAAAAATATTAAGAGAAGAAATACCTCAACTTTAAGTCAATTGTTGCTATCTTAGAAAAATATTCTTAAATAGTCCTGTTTGATTATATAAGAATACTGTTGTTATTTATCCTTTTTCATTTGTTGACCTGAATCTACTTAGAGAAGATTAATACATTTGAACTAAATTGAAGAGTTCATACAGTTTGCTCGAGATTATTTAAATTATGTCTCTAAATAATTTTAGAGGTACTTTGTCACTCAAGGTATTTCTATATTGTTACTATTTAAACTCTCAGATTAAGAAAGAACTTTTTGAACTCTGTAGCATCTGTTATTTCTTTTTGCTACAATTCTCTTGGTTTTTACTGCTCAAAATTGCCCATCTCTGCTGCAGCATCTCTTGGTGGCCCCTGGAGTGTGCAGAGCAGTTCAGTGGATTGTGTGTCAGTGAGTGTTGCTTTACACCACACTCTTGTCCTGCGTATATAAATGATGTTCTTACTGGTGGTGAACGTGGTGATTACACTCCTACCTCAATCTAAGGGGGACATCGTGATCTTGCTTTAGTTTTTCATTAACATTTGCCATAGTATAGTTATTTTTTAGTTGTAATAGACATCCTTGCCAAATACGCATAAGCATCATTTACTAATACAAATAAACATAAAACAAAAATTCATTTTCCAGTTATAGCTGTAAGTCATTTTTTACTTTTTTTTTAAGTTTGTAAAATGTTAGAAATCTTCATATATATCACTCCAAAGTTTTTTCAGCATCCATTCCACCTTCAGATTCCTTTCAACGAAAATAGTATTTAGTCTCAGCCATGTGATACTAGAGCTCCACCTAAGGATAGCAGAGAAAAGGGATAGGACACCTCCCATTTGACCATCCAGCTATGACCTTATTACATGTGAGCTCTTCACGATGTCTGCAGACAGTCTGTGAGATTGCCAGCCCTAAGGCAATCTATTCTGAAGAACCCAACTTTCATAAAGCCGTGTCCAGCCTTGCTGTGTCTTTACCGAAGTTGAGAATTTAGCCTTTCTTGTTTTTGATCCCTGTTTATTTGCTACCTACCAAAATCTCAGTTTTTATTTTCTTATTTTATTTTTTTATGGTAAAAACACTCTGTTACCTGGGATAGAGTGCAGTGGTATCATCATAGCTCACAGCAACCTCAAACTCCTGGGCTCCAGTGATCCTCCTGCCTCAGCCTCCCAAATAGCTGGGACTACAGGCAATTTTTCTATTTTTTGTAGAGATGGCGTCTCGCTCTTGCTTAGGCTGGTCTTGTTAAAACTCCTGACCTCAAGAGATCCTCCTGCCCCAGCCTCCTAAAGTGCCAGGATATTTATAGGCGTGAGCTACCATGCCTGGCCCCCAAATCCCAGTTTTTATAATACCTCTACAGCTGTAAAGGTCTTATATTTCTAAATATAACTTTCTCAATATTTTTATATGCCAGTTCTGTATTATGAGAAAAATTTAATATAATAGGATTTCCATTGAGATAAGAATTATATACTGTATTTGTAGAGCTTTTGTGGGATTCTTATATAACCTAAGGAGGTGCTGATTTTGATAATTGATGTTTGTGTGTGTGTGTGTATGTGTGTGTGTATAGCACAGCATACTATCTTGTCTTAATTGGAATAAAATCACAGCCAATAATGTGATTCAATGATTACCATTAACTGCCTGAACTCAATTAGATTGGATACTTTGAAGGTAGAATGCATTAGTCTAAACATACTACTGATTTGATTTCTCTTCTAGCCATCGGATTTAATGTAGAGACGGTGACATACAAAAACCTTAAATTCCAAGTGTGGGACTTAGGAGGACAGACAAGTATCAGGTATGGTGCAACGACTAGGTTATTTTGTGGTAGTTAACATTTATGGGTTCTTTTAAGGGTTAACAGCAGTAAA